TGAATCTATGAAAAGTGTAATTTCTTTACAAATTTGGAGAATTAGAAGAAGGGGATAATGGACTTCTCCTATAGTCCACGACATGGTTTAGGGCTATGCAATGTTATTTCAGTGGATTGGTGTTTATGGGGGAACACTCAAGCCTCAATATAGAGACTGGAATCAAAACTAGTTATCGTCCTCTACCTCATCCATTCTTTGTATTCTACAAATACATGTTGATGCTACATATTAAAAACAGTCACTTTGAGGGCATGCCATAGTAGCATATTGAATTCTCCAATTGAATGGTAATCAAGCAAGAGTGGACCATCCTAAGCCTGGGTCCAGCTCATTTAACGTACAGTATACCAACTGTTGAGGATCCTTTGCAGCATTCTAAACCCAAATCAATTGAACACGAGCATACAAACAATAGTTCATTTTTCCACAAAACTCATATCTATACAAAGTTGCTTGCAAAAGGCATCCTTGTCATTCAACCTCAAATGTAAGGGTAGTGATGATAGGTTAAATAAATGCTCCCATCTAAGTTTAGTTGAGTATCAATGAAACATTAGACAGTAATTTCCAAAATGCTTTTGAGCTTATCACTAGAAGAGGCCCTACCGATCTCCAAAGTTTAGCATTGAGCCTACAGTATGGACTTCAAATATGATGCTCTTTTATAATTTACGAACTGGGTACTAAGGGTGGAAAAACAAAAAGTGCCGAAGTAGGCAAAAATGGCAATGTGGGAACCTAGGTTTCAGAGCCATTTGAATATCATCTGGAAGCTCACACAAGAAATTGGTCGTTTATCGATCAGTAAGAGAGTTACAAAAAATGTTATCATACCAAATTATGCAACTTCAACGTCGTGTTTGTACATAAAATAATTCTGGATATAAGTACTAAAATGTGCTTAAAAGAGATCAACAAAAAAAGCCTACTACAAACTATAAAGCCACAGATCCACTCTAAAAGCTCATCAATCTTGGATATAAGTACTAAAATGCGCTTAAAAGAGATCAACAAAAGAAGCCTACTACAAACTATAAAGACACAGATCCACTCTAAAAGCTCGTCAATCTTTTATTGGATAGAAATCAAACTGGAAGAGCTTGTTACTTAAACAATAATGAAAACTCTTCAATGAATTGTTAATTAGGAAATAACAATCACACTGGTCACCGGACATGGCCTTAGTGAACAAATTAGTTGGCTATTGCGCATAGGATATCAGGTGAGGAGATAAGACCAGCAATAAACTTTTGTTAGAGAAATGAAAATCCTTTATCTGATCACAAATGACAATATCAAAAGCGATTCACATACCCCTGAGAATGTTACCTTGCATAAATGTTCAGATGCAAGAAACTGATGAGCAGGCAGCTAAACAAGAGAAGTACAGTAGATAAGAGAAGCACAGATGCTCAACTTCAAACGAACGAGACGCTATCCTACTTTCCACCAAGAGCTAAGAGGAATACCAAGAAACAGATTTTATCAAATGTGTGGATTACCCAGTGTCTTGACAACAAGACAGTCTAATTTGTAACTTCTTGTAAGCTGAAGGGGGTAATTTTCTTTCAGGGGATAATTTGTAACTTCTTGTAAGATGCAGGGGATAATTTTCTTTCAGGGGATAATTTGTAACTTCTTGTAAGATGAAGGGGATAATTTTCTTTCAGGGGATAATTTGTAACTTCTTGTAAGATGAAGGGGATAATTTTCTTTCAGGTAGGCTCATGTTGGAAGTTTATCAGAAACAATCTTATCTTATTTCAGAGCTATTGGTAAAATGATAAAAAACGCTATCCTTTAAAGTGTGGAAATAGTGGACTAGAAGATAAATTAACATGGCGCAGAAGCTGAACTAAATCATAACCAGCAGTCATCAATCTAATGATATTATTTTGTTAAAATATAGAAACAGGAAAGCCCAATTGATCAAAGGGGAATCACGATAGAGCATGAGAGAGAGAGAGAGAGAGAGAGAGACTAATCTCATGCTCAACAAACTGTCTACTATTTGTCACCAAACTAAATCAATAAGGGAGAAAAACAAAAATCCAAATCAGAGATGGGAAGGAAAAAATAAAACAGTGAAAACCCAAGTGATAATACAAACAAATATTGAATAAAAATCAAATAATTGAAGAAAAATGTTGCAGGGAAACACCAGAAGGACCATAAAAGGCAGACCCAAAATGCACGAAAAGAGATAAGAGAGAGAAATACATAAGAGAAATCCATAAGAAAGAGATTGACAGGTTATGAAAAAGTAGCAAATATAACGAGAATCCAGGGTTTTGAATGTACCAAACTTGGTGAAGTCACCAGACGAGAGGGCATCAGCATAGTATTTGTCATTGTATCGAACAGGGAAAAGGACAGTGTTGAGTTTCTTGAGCTGCATCAGATTCTTATCTCTCACACTTTCAAACGAAATTGGAACATCTCTACCAGCCCCCATTTCTCTCTCTAAACTTTTCTTAGGCAAAATTTCTCTCTCTAAGATCTCCGTCACTCTCTCCCCTGCAAGAAACGAACAACCCATGAATCTTTTCTTAAAGATGACCAAATACTGCGTAACAAATAAGCCCTGCAACCAAAAACATCATACCCTCTCTTCTCTCTCTAACTTGTTTTCGCAATTCTCTGAAAAAAAGTTGAACTAGCGAGAAATTAGCCTCTCTCTCTGCTTTTCAACAAAAGCTTCTCTATGTCTCTCTCTTTAACCAAAACAAATAATGGAAATTGCAAGAAAATGGGAATTTCTCAGAGAAAAACGTAATAATCTACTCACCAATCTCTCTTTCTCTCTCTAATCAAATCGCGCCGAAGGCCCAATTCCTCAGCAGATGGCAATGTATAAGACAGCTTTCTACGGAATATCATAATCAATTGGATGCATACACCCCTCTCTCTTTCTAGAAATAACTCCGAAATATATGTTTAATAGATGTAGATTCTAGAGAGAGAAAAAGTGGGAAACATAGCTCGGTGAGCTAAGAGCTTCCAGGCTTAAAACCCTAATTACACGCACTCACTGTGGTTTATTTTTCCAATATTACATATTACCGTTACATTATTCCTAGAAAATTTAGGGGAAAAAAAATTATTTTTATTTTCGGTGTTTAAAAATAAAATATTCTGTTAAGCCTGAGTTTTACATTTATTGGATGGAAGAGTGTACTACATTTTATTTTATGTTTTTTTAAAATTTTAATTTTTAGATTATTTATATAAACATCTTGTATTTTATGGAATTCACAACAAAAAAATATATACAATATTCTTTTTAGATGAGGATGTTGAGATGGATGTGGGGGTAAAGAATAGAATTTTAAGTAAATACATTTAGAATAACTTAGATGTGATAGTAATAGTTAACAAAATTAGAGAAAGTAGACTTGGTGGGCTGATAATATGTAGTGTAGATCCGGTTAACCCTTATTAAAAGGAGCAAGTTAGTTTAAGTAGAACACTAAAAAAAAAGCACGAGCCAAATTTACATTGTTAGAAATAATAGAAAAAGATATAGAGATTTATGGCCTCAGCTATGATTATTGATAGAGCAAAATAGTCAACCAGGATTCGTACATCCGACCCCCAAAAATTTGAGAAAATATTACGATGTTGATAATGATGATGATCCTATTTTAGTTTAACTTTGTTCAAATATTAAGCTCAAATTTTCTTGTATATATTATAACTTTATATATATATATATATAAGATACTACAAAACACCTACAGGTGAAAATGAACAGTGATTTCGCATACTTTCATCACTGACCAAATTCATTGCACGGTCATGATTGTCAGGTAGTGTTTCATTTTTCATTTTTTTTTCTACAAATCGAAATGACTTAAAATTTAGAGTGTGTATTCATAAAAAATAAGCAAATATGTGAAAAATATCAAAAAAAATATTTTACATGAAAACTATTGACCAAAATACCTCCAAAAAGTTTTGAAGGTATTTTGATCATTTTTTTTGTGAATTATTTTGTTTATATTTTTATTAGGTGCGCCTCACTAAGATGTACACACGCTCAAAATTTCAGATCATTCCGATTTGTAGAAACAAAATAAAAAATGAAATACTATCGGACAATAGTGGTTGTACGATAAATTTTAGACAGATGAGAATAGACAAAATTATTGTTTATTTTTGCCTATAGGTGTTGGGAAGAATTTTCATATACATATATATATATATGAAAATTCATCCCAATTTTCATATATATATAGGTCGAAAGAGTATTTTAAAACCTAGATTAGTGTAGGGGCTAGTCCACCCACAAATCCTATTGGATTGTTGGATCGATGATTTGGATTGGGTTTGGACCAATCCAAATTAATAATATATAAAGAAAAAAAAAACGGTTTATAAGGTGAAAAGTTTAGGGGAACACAACAAAACTCGACAAACTTAAAAAAATAGTTAAATATAAAGAGGTATTGGGGGAAGCAAGGCTGAGCACACGCCATCCTAAAATTGGTTTGGACCGGATTGATTGCACCAAATAAGCAATCCTATATTGAATTTTACCCCATGGAGTAAACAAACAATATACTACCATAAGAGTATAAATTATTTTGGAACATTTTATGAGGTTTTTTATAAGGCTTAGGCTTTATGAAAACAAAATAAGCCCTCATCTTAAATCCTTGTCTGCCACCGAAATATCTATGATGACTTTAAAATCAATTTCCAACACCGACAATAAAAATTGAAACTAAAAAATTTGTATAGATATTGCCAATATGTGAGCATTTATTTTCAAAGCAAAATGGACAACCTAAATTATTTGTTACAATATATATTATTTTTAAAACTTGAAATCCTTTTTTTTTTTTTCACAACCACAATGTTCGATGATCGATGTAAATGTCGCAATCTTGGATGATCAATATAAATGTTTTCTAATGCTTGACTTGTAATTTTCAATGGGTTATGAGGTGAGGATTTACTTCATTTGATACAGCTGCAGCCCTACTAAATCGTTTTCCTTTATAAAATCCCTTTAAAAAAAAAATAAAGAGGATTAGAGAGAAAAACAGGAAAAAAAAAAGAGGATTAGAGAGAGAAACTGGAAATAAAGAGGGTACTCCGAGAACCAAAAATAGAAATATGAAATTAAAAGAAAAGGCGGGAAAGGTTGAAAGAATTCCCGCCACTCTCTCTCCTTTTGCTTTCTTCCCCCCCTTTCGTTTTAGACAGAGAAAGGGAGAGAGAATAGAGTTCGTTAGTCACAGAGTATTAGAGAGAGAAACATTGTTTGCATTTGTGAGGGAGTTTTAGAGAGAGAGAGAGGCCAATCGGCATGCTGGAGCTAAGGCTTGTGCAGGGGAGCCTCCTGAAGAAGGTATTGGATGCCATTAAAGACCTGGTCACCGATGCCAACTTCGATTGTTCGAGCACGGGTTTCTCATTGCAAGCCATGGATTCAAGCCATGTTGCTCTTGTTGCCCTTCTTCTCAGATCTGATGGTTTTGAGCATTTTCGGTGCGACCGTTCTGTGTCAGTGGGGATGAATCTGAACAATATGGCAAAGATGCTCAAATGCGCATCGAATGATGATATTATCACCATTAAATCTGATGATGGTGGTGATGCTGTAACCTTCATGTTTGAGAGTCCAAGTAAGTTGAAGAATCTAATATCTTGGTTTTTGTTTTTGTTGGGTTTTTGTTATTTTGATGGGTTTCTTTCTAAAATGCTCTCTCTTTGTGTATCTTTCTTCCATTTTAAATTAGGATTGATCGACATTCTCAGACTCCTAATGCGTTTCAATCCATTTTCTGACTAAGATTCATGTCTCTGGAATTTTCCTTCATTATTTGTTCATTAATATGGCTGTTCTCTCTTTCTCTCTCTATCAATGTAATGTTGGGCTTCCTACTTTTTTTTTTTTTTAATACAGATCAGGATAAAATCTCTGATTTCGAAATGAAGCTTATGGATATCGATAGCGAGCATCTGGGCATTCCCGAGGCTGAATATCACGCCATTGTTAAGATGCCTTCTTCTGAATTTGCTACAATTTGCAAGGATCTCAGCACCATTGGGGACACTGGTAATCTTTCATCTCTCTCTGTCCATCTCTCTGTATATATGTAAATCTATCTATCTCCAATTTTGTTTTCTTGGAGATTGCATCATCTATTTTCATCTGACATGTATGTTTCTGCTGCATTATTATGTGTTATTGCTCAAATATTTGTATATTTGGTTTCTACTTACTCGGTTTTGTCTTTCGATTTATTTTTGGGGGTTGCGGGGTTCATGGATTTTGCGTTGTATTTTGAATTTGTAGTTTTTTCATTATTGTACACATTTTTTTGGGTTTTATGAGCCATGTTTGTTTTGCAGTGATGATATCAGTAACCAAGGAAGGAGTGAGGTTTTCCACCAAAGGGGATATTGGAAGCGCCAACATAGTCTGCCGCCAAAACACCTCTGTTGACAAGGTCTCTCTCTCTCTCTAAAACACACACTGGTTAGAGATAAACTTTGGCTCTCAAAATCACACACTGATTAGAGGCAATCTTTGCCCCTATTCCGCTAGGAGCCTTATCTCTCTTTCCTCGTGGTTTACTAACATACTTGACCTTGTGGATCAACTTGTCGGACTCTTAGCAAGTGCAATAGCCGGTCTAGTCCAAAACAAAAATCGAATTCGATTGAATACTTTGTTAAACTCTATGTTTTCCATGCTTTGTTTTGGCTTATCAAAACATCCAAAACAAAACCAGTTAGACTTGTTTCATGTGTTTTGACCAGTTGGACAGCTAAAGAATGTCAAAATTCTTTATTGGAATATAATTCACATTTTTCAAAAGGCAAAAAATGAACATATTACAAAAAAGGGATATATTTTCATATTTTTATGATATTCTTTCTATTCTTCATCATATTTTTTTAAATCTGGTCAAACCGTGCTGATTTTGACTGGATTAGATACCTAATGTTCATTAGCTAGTCCTATTTTGATAACAGTGGTTCACATGGCTAATGTCTCTCCCTCTTTGACCAAGGCTCTCAATCATTTATTCGAAAGTCTGAGATTGATGTTCAAGGTGTAACATCTTATCTTAGCATTTGTTTCTAACCTACTTTATCATATGTGCAGCCAGAAGAGGCAACTATAATAGAGATGCAAGAACCAGTGTCCCTAACATTTGCCTTGAGGTACTTGAACTCCTTCACAAAGGCAACCCCCCTATCATCATCAGTCACCATAAGCCTCTCATCTGAGCTACCAGTCGTGGTCGAGTACAAGATCGCAGATATGGGTTACCTTCGATTTTACCTTGCTCCAAAGATTGAAGATGAGGGAGATGAGTCTTGAACCATCTGTTATGAATTCCTTTTTTTCCTTCAATCTGTTCTCTTTTTGTTTGGGTTGTAAGGTAGTTTTAGAACATGTAATTAGTTGATTAGTTAAAGCATTCCATACTCTCTAATTATCTTTTATTGGTATTCATTATTCTTGGTTGAAAAAGTAGCTTTACACCATGTGACCAGTGCATTAATTAAAGCACTCCATGACCTCTTTTTATCTCTTGTTAATGTTAAAGTAACTAGGTGGTGTTAAAGTATATAGAGAACAAGCCCAGGGATTAAATTTGCTCTATCTGTACCAGTTTTCTAATTCTAAATTTTATAATTTAGGGTGAAAAATAGATTTTTAGGGCATCGTAAGGCTTCTTAGCGTTGGACCTGCATCTTTTAACAAAAGTTAGATGTGCCTTGTATTTGATTGTTTAAGGTTGATACATTATACAAACTCAATATCAAATGGAAAAAGTTTATATAAGGATATGAGGTCGTAAACAATTCAATTAAAGGCACACCTCAAAAATTCACTAGAAGTTGTTTTGATACAAAAAAATCTTCAAATCAATCATCTCAACCTCAAGATATATGAACATGAGAAAAAATGGATTTTGAGTATCTGAAATAGTGCATTTTGTAATGCAATTTTTTGGAGTGTAAATTTTCCAGTGTTTGTAGATCTGCCAGATCTACATTATTTTTGAAGTTTTAAATTATAATTAGAGATGAAAATAAATTCTCAGGCCATGACAAAGATTTCTAGTATTTAAACATCTTTCCACACTATTTGAAGGTGGGCCTTACTTTGATTGTTTAGAGCCTCAACCTCATACAAACCACATTTGGAAAAAGTTTATATACAGTTCAGATTCTAAACAATCAAATTAGAGCCCACCTCAAAAATTTATCTAGAAGAGGTTTATTTTGATGCCCAAATATACTCAAATTGAACATCTTGACATCAAGATGCATGGACATAAGAAAAAAATGGATTTCAAGTTTTGAGAATAGCGTATCTTGTAATGTATTTTTGGACTATCAAATTTCAAGTTTTCATAGGTCTGCTTGATCTACATTGTTTTTGAAGTTTTAAATTTGATAATTAGAGATGAAAATATATTTTAAGGTTATCCCAAAGATTTTCAGTATTGAAGTCATATTTCTCGACACTATTTGAAGGTGTGCTCTACTTTGATTGTTTAGAGCCATGGCTCTATCCAAACCGCACCCATATTAAATTGACAAATTTGTATATATGTTTTTATTTAGACAAACATGGCTTGTTCGGTCGGATCTTCGTCCAATCCACTTGGATCCTACTTGTGCCCAAGTCAACCTAGGAACCAATGGGGTTGGGATCAGTTAGGGTTGAGTTGGACCCGACTCCACCTGTTTACACCCATATTTAAGGGGAGCTAAGCAAGCAACTTTCTTTCTCCATTTATTAATCAGGTTTTTATACTTCCCCTACAATATTATACTAGAGTAGGCAGTTTAGGAATGAGTGACATTTTTTCTTAGCTTTAATTATTTGGATGGTTAAACTAGCCTTCACTAAGATAAGGCGATGGAATAAATACATGAGAGGTCCCTTGTAAGAACATGAATGTCAACCTCCAAGATAGTACGTCTTGTAACACATTATTTTGATGACTATTTTCAAGTCACTTAATTTTCACTACTTTTGAGCTTCGAATTTCATAATCAACAATAGAAATACATTTTCAGGCCAACCTAATAATTTTCGGTGTCAAAACTATCATTTCTAGAATGGTTGAGTTGCAGCCCTAATTTTTTTTCATATGGCCTAGACCTTATGTTAGCCACACCCAATGCTCCACCTCAATGGGGAATGGGGTTGGGGCATGTATGGTTAGCGCGGTGGATGTCTCAACATGACATCCCACCTTCCATTCCCACAATTAACATATCCCAAAAAAAAAGCAATAATAAGAAAAAAAACCTCTCAACTATCACTAGGGAATTTAATTTTCATCATAAAATGGGTGGTTGGCATCAATAGTTGATAAGAAAAATGGAGATCTTGTGGGTAATTTTAGGGTAACTTTGTAAAATCTCGTAATTCTAGGTTGGTTCCATTTCTTCCAATCAACCACTCCTAGAAACATCACTAATGCTCAAACCAAACGCAGATGATAATTAAGGTGGTCAAAGGACAATTAGAGTGGTTACTTTATAAGATTATTTTTACCTAAATTCCTCCTATTTTAGAATTAAAATTTGCAATTTTGGTAATTTGGCTCCACTTAGGTGGCTAGGGTAACTACTTTGGTTGTTCTTAACTAGAATGCTGTCCAATGAAAAATGGGATGTTAGGTTTTTTAACCTTGAACAAGAAGGATAGAACCATTATTTAGCTTAGGACACCTAATTTAAGTAAAAAGACAATCATTATTATCGTAATAGTTTTTTTCTAATTAATTGGGATCGGCTATTACGCACAATGATAATAATACCCTTATATATGTTCAGAGTACAAAACTCGAAGCAAGGATTTCCAATGAGAAAAAATGAGTTCTAGATTCCTAACCTGAACAAACAAAGGCATAATCATCGTTTTACAGGGGCGACTCATATCGAGCTAAAATGACTATATTATGTCATTTAGCTTGGGCGAAATAAGAGGAGAAACCGTGGCAAAGTGTAACCACTCTAATGCTAAATTCGTTGTTACGAGCATTGAAGGAAAAATCGGGCGGTTTAATTGGTAACCGCCTGAATCGATCGGAGCTGACCACTAGTCAGTTTTAGTAACTCGTTGGGTATTTTTTAATTTTTTTAAAAAATTATATAAAATCTTAAAAAATAAAGGATTTTATTTGTATTGCATTATTTTTTAATGTTTTTATCATTATGGCAAATATTGAAAATTGTTTTGACCATTAATACTAATTTTTCTACTTTTTATTTTTTAAAATTTTTAAAAATACCATTGGACACAAATTGATTTTTTAAAATCTATTTTTTTTCATTAATTTTCAACTTAATTTGGATGTGCTGTGTTTAATCATTCTTTAAATATCTATTTTTTATATTTTTTGTATTATTATTATTATTATTACTTTTAACACTTTTTGACCACCCAAGACTTGCCCCGTTACAACAATTGAATCGGTTGATTTACTGGTTAAGCAGGTTGAACCGCTTCAGGGCCCATATCTGGTTAACCATTTCAGTTCGATTTTTTCCGTTACATGCACTTAATGAATTTTCAAGTGCTCTAACCATTTTAGTAGTTCCATTTTTCCTGTTACATGCACTTAATGAATTTTCAAGTGCTCTAACCATTTTAGTAGTGATATTTTCTAAAAGGAAAAAACCACATGTTCCCTACCTTAAATTTCGTTTTCCATCCATTGTTATAAATTCAGCACAAATTCTACATTAAATGGATATGGGTGCAATTTGTATAGAGCCTACCTTCAAATAGTGTCAAGAAATATAATTTCAATACCGAAAATCTTTTTGATAGCCTTAAAATATATTTTCATCTTTATTTATAAAGTTTAAAGCTTCAAAAATAATGTAGATCGAGAGATCTATAAAAACTTGAAAATCTTGAAATTTGACGGTCCAAAAGTGCGTTACAAAATACACTATTTCCAAAACTTGACATCCATTTTCTTATCATGTCCATGCATCTTGATATCGGGATGATGAATTTGAAGAGATTTGAGCATCAAAACAATATCTTCTAGTGAAATTTTTGAGGTAGGCTCTGAATTTGATTGTTTAGAGCCTCAGCTCTATATATACTTTTCCCAAGGGACATCCATAATATAATTTTCTGGAGCATTTATTGAAAGTTGCAATTCAGACAAAATTCCAAAAGAAAGGCTTCTCTTTCATCCGATATAACGAATAAATCTAACGTAAGAATATTTGTTGTCAAACCCCCTTTTTTTTTCTACCAAATCAATGCAAGTAACAAATTTCATTCTTCACGAGATACTTATCAATACATGGTCCGATGATACAATTATAAAATGGCACCCAACACTCGGAATTAGAACACTCCATGCAGGAGATATTCTACAAGCCATATGTGAAAAAAAACCATTGGCAAAAATTTGAGAAAACCTGATGAAATCCATGTATGAAAAAAACCACTGGCAAAATTTGAGAGAACCTGAAAAGGATCACGTGCACCTCCAGTTTTCTCCAGCATAAACTGCTCTATCTCCTAGCTCTTCTTCAATCCGGACCAACTGTGGGTGTGGGTGTGGGAGAGAGAGAGAGAGAGAAAGAGAGATCATACGTTACTCTCACATGCAACGGATGCATTATGTTCAGAACAGTTAAAATATGTGCAAGCATAATATCGAGAACTACGAAAACCAAATGTGTGTGGGTGTGAACAAGCAAATGTGCGAGTGTGTATGTGTGTGTGTGAGAGAGAGAGAGAGAGAGAGAGAGAGAGAGAGAACCTGATTATACTTAGCGACTCGTTCTCCACGACATGGTGCCCCTGCTTTGATCCGACCAGCAGCGAGACCAACAGCTAGATCAGCTATAAATGGGTCTTCTGTCTCCCCACTTCTATGAGAGATGACCACTCCCCACTCTGCATCAGACGCTTGCTTCGCCACCTCGATGGCCTCAGTAATGGTCCCAATCTGGTTCAACTGGAAAGTAGCCCATGGGAATTCAAATTAATAGAAAATGAAAAGATAAATACATTGATCAGAACCAATAAAAACTGAAATATCAGAAAATGGAACATCATAAAAAACAATTAGCGATAAGAAACACATTAAGAAAAGCAGAGAAAAGGGATAATAATAAAGATAGAGTTGAAGGAACACCCAACAGTGCCATTTGCATATAGGATTTTTAAGTTTCTGTATTCCATTAAAGCATGATTCTTCCAAAATTAAGTTTCAGTCTTGCAAGGAACAACCTTTGGGGTTTTAAAGTGAAGTAAAACAAACAATCCATTTTTCTATTCAGGTTTCAAAAAAAAAAACAAACAGCCCATTTTTCTTTTCAGGTTTAAAAAACTGAACAACTCCCTGATCTTGTTCAATACCTTGAGAAGAAGGGCATGGCAGGTTGACTCATGTATGGCTCTCTCAATGCGCTTTGGATTATTCATCAACAAATCAGCCCCAACAACCTACAAAATACTCTGACATTATTTGTAAGCAGACCCATATCTGAACCAGATGGAGATAAAAGATAGATAATACGCTCAATCTAGCATAACCCAAGAAACAGAAAAGAGACAAACCTGGCATAACCCAAGAGCAGAAAATGCTTTGGTGTTTTCCCAATCATCCTTGTCAAATGGCTCTTCAATGGAGACAATAGGATAGTCTGAAACAGGCCATGCATTGAGAGAAAATACACAATTGTGACTTTCATCAGTAACAAGAGAGAAGCAGCACATCATGTGCAGGGAGGGAGGGAGGAAGAGAGGAGGGAGAGAGGAAATAAGATACACAGAATACCTCCACAGATTTGTGTGTACATCTCGGTCATCTCCTGTCCTGTCTTAAAATTCTGACCAGACTTGTTTGGCGCTTTAAAGTCTAAGTCATACTTCTTTCCTAAATGCAAACAAACAAATCCCAGTGTTTGTTTAGACCATCAGGACGCCCAAATCTCTCTCTCTCTCTCTCTCTCTCTCTCGTTGTTTTGTTAGATAAAATAATGTTGCCATTCTCTTTGCTATGCCAAAGGAATGCCTAGGGATAAGAAATCTCTACAAAACAAGTAAGACACCCGTTTGTAAATAACCTGGTCCGCGTGTTACTACAAGTCTGACACATGTTAATAGCAACTTTACTACCCGAACTGGAAACAGAGCATACACACTCCAAGGCATCACTTTATTAGGAGGAATGTCGAACAGATAAATATTTTCCAATTAAATGTAAGTGGAAGACCAAAAGAAAGTAATCATTGCACATCTGAAATCAGTGGGCACAGCCAGTAGGATCTTTATTTTGAGAAAAATGATCAATGTAATAAAAGGAAGCCAAATTAATCCTATAATGGAAACAACAATTGAGTACTATGGAAAATCTGGTCAGCATCATTAAAGTGTCACCAAGAATAAAGAACAAACCGCAAATATATACAAATGTCTTTACCTATGCAAAATTGACTAGCAGCAACATCCATTGCCAACTTAATTTTATCGCTATACCCTGCCCTATTAATTGCCTCCTTGATGAGATCCAGACCCTCAATGGAACTGTAAACATAAAGAAAACGATCCTTTAACATTGAAGGGGCCTTAAATATCAATTGGCTGTAATATGATGATATTTTACAAGCGACCACCAAATCAGCCTCATCCATGATTGATGGTAACAGCTATCATAAGCACCCAAAAGGAAATGACAGGAGGTGTCTTACCTGGAGATGTTTGGGGCAAAACCACCTTCATCACCCACGTTGCATCCAGTTTGACCATATTTTTCTGTAATAACAGCCTGAGAATTTCCAGTAACAAAAGATTTACCACCCGAAACAAATGTACAAATGAGACTAACAACATAACTTTGCAGCATTAAATTAAATGACTGCTGCCATACTAAAATTCTAAAATGAGTTCAAGAGCACAAAAGTAGCAGGTATGTCTCCTCATACTGAGGGCAGCCTGGTCTGTGGTCTTTCCTCTCCCCTTTCTCTAAAGTTAGATATTTGACAAACACCTTTCTCTAAAGTTACACATTGCACAGAAAGAATTGTTTTTCATTTTGATTAGCTCCTCAAATGAATGATTGAACTCTGCTTTTGTTGACTCTTGGTTAGGACGGATGAGGAAATTCCAAGGTGAACTCCATGTGCATATTGACTGGTATTGGGAACTGTGAATCTCTGACAATAGTTTTTTATCCCCGCAAAGCAAATAAATAAAGAATCATATGAAAGGACTAGACTTAAGTTTCATAAGAAGCTCTTCCTGTAAGATCTCAGCAATGTCACATAAGGTAAATAAGAACCAAATGATACATAAGGACAACATTTCCTTACGGAAGGCATTACCTTCAGGTGTTGATATGTCTCAGAACCCATTTGCATTGCCTCCTCAAATGTGTTGGCACCAATAGGAATAATCATTATCTCCTAAAAACAGATTGTCAATCGTTTGGTAGGTAATCAGAAAAAAAAAAAGAAAAATTTCATAATGCAGTTAACTATTGATGAAAAATGAGCTTTCCTATGCAGTGTAAACATGATAAAATTTCTCAAAAACCTGATTTAAAAGCAAAGAGAGTATGAGTGAGTGAGAGTGTGTGTGAGTGTGAGTGTGAGTGTGAGTGTGAGTGTGTGCGTGTGTGTGTGTGTGTGTGTGTTATTAGTGGAACAGGAATCCCTCAAGCAGATTTGCCACTCCAAAAACCCAAAGTTACACTTACTCTATGTGGTCTACATCAAAGTGCTTTGTCAGTTCATATAATATCAAATACAAGGCAAACCATAGGCACTAATTTTATCAGCATAGAGAGGCATTGGGAAAAAATGGAGAAATCGAATCAACACAATTGAAGCCTTGTAGCCACATATTTCACTAAAGTAGAAGACGTTGCCCTTTTCTGCTTCCCTTCTACAATTTAAATATATCATTCTTAAATTTCCAAGTAACTAGTGCATTCACGGGAAATGTAAAAGCCAATGCTCAAGCATATGGTACTCAGAACACTTGCATCATTTGCATCAGCATATGCAGTAGTATCTACAGAATAAAAATGAAATTTCAATTCAAATATTAATATTATAAAATAAGCTCTACTTTATAAGCATAAGCTACTTAGCCAAGCATTTGGTACTAAGTTTCCTCCATAGTAACTTCATGAACACAAAGTAGGACAAAACTGAGAGTTAGTAGCATAAACAAAGATGGATGCTGGGAAAAGGAGTGCAGAGTCCAAAGTTGCATGTGTAAACTAACGCTACAGCTAAAATACCAATGACAATGATCATTTAACCTCCTCCCAAGTGTATATCTGGAAGGTTAGCGACACATAGCCCTTTCTATATCCCATAGTTTTTTCTTACCAACATACCTCAGCCACCAATTAACCCTCTCCTAACACCTAAAATTCAGGCCCTACCCTACCCCTGCGACACCATTACTCTGTTAAGTATCCTCCTATAACATTTTGTCAGCACATCGTATTGCCCACCACTGCCCAACACCCATAGCTTTGTATCTTGCCTTCTCTTTCCCTGAAGAGATGTATAAAAGGAGAAGGCAGTGCCCTTCAAATGAGGCGATCAGACATCCCTTAACTCCACCCAATGTTCGAAAAGTCGACTCGGGCCGACTACTTGGCCCATGCTCCAGCTGAGTACTTGCCCGAGTCCGAGTAACTAGGCCCAAGTATAGCTGAGCACTGTAGCAGCTGAAATCTATTAAAAATAAAAAAATAAAAAAATCCCAGAAAATAGGAAAAATCTATTCAAAGTAAAATTGAACAGAACACAACTAATTGCGGTAGAAAAAGTAGCGAAAAAATATATTTTAAAAAAAGAGCTCGTGACCAAGGGTATTTTCAAAATTCTCGAAAAAAGATGGGAAAATGTAAAAATAAGTATTCATGGCCAAAATACTTTCCAATCTTTGCCAAAATGATACAAAACATAAATCAACTTGTTACAAATATATTTCTCAGCTTTTTGGGATTTTTTATAATTTTTCCTTTTAAGATCCCCGAGTTGAACCTCCAACTTGGAACAACTCGGGCTCGGCCCTTGCCGAGGCCGAGCCCAAGTAACTTAGCTGGTCGTCGAAACGACTCGGCCAACTTTTCGAACATTGGCTCCATTCCTACCACTTAAACCCCATCTCTGGCTTCCACTAGAATAGAGACATATGGCTGCATTCTCCTCTGCTAGCAAGGTCACCCAGGGCACCTTGAACTAGGATCTGAGACCAGGGAACTCAAAATCCCATTGAGTGCAGGTTAGGAGGATTTGCAATCATTACACCATCTGCCTATTCCCAAACACCCCAAAAAGAAATAAGAAAGAAAAAAAAAAGGATTTCCTTTTTCAATAAAAAAAAAAATTGTTCCTCTACTTCCCCTTTGCAAGTGAGAATTACTTCCCCACACTGCCATTAGGCTTCCATATTACTCTGCCATAGCCCTACCGCATCTACCTTGTACCAATGATTTTTGTTGCCTAGCCTCTCTACAAGACTTGAGGGCCGAGGTTCTTCATCCCTTGCCCATAATACTTCCACAATACCCACATGTTTCCCCATTTCTCATTTTGTTTTCCCCGCATCCTCAAATTGCGCACCTCTATCATATCATGATTGAGTCATTGAACTGCCCACCTTGCACTCTGATGCCACACTACCTCGTCAACTTTCTATTGTCCCCTTGCTGCCCTACACCTTTCTCTATTCTCACTATTTATCTCCCTCTGAGCAAAAGCAGCACGATCCTAACATATTTCAGAGTTCCGAGCACTGGTACATGAGAAACTTTAACACTCCCAATTAAAGTTTCATTTTAATACGTATAGCAAGCACCTCTTCACCAACTGCTGGTATTAAATTCCGAATCCTCCGGTAACCTCCTAGCAAATCCACCATAGAATTTGATTCTCCTACATCATATTCGATAAATTCATCTTTCTTTAGATCTCAATCACCAATATTTGACAAGCATTCTGTGATATGTTTGTTGTTGCTTTCTGCTCTCCGGGTGTATTACTGTTTTGAATACTCTTCGGCCCCTCCCCCCTCCCCCCCCCCACCCCACACACACACAACATGCGATGCACACATGAATGGTATAATAATGATATAAACTTTCAGGAGTTAATTCTAACTTAGCCAGAATCCTTACTCTAGTTAACTGACTACCGTGGCATAATATGAAGTTATGAACATGAGCACACATACAGGACATCCACTTCTTACTCTAGTGAAAGGGTAAATGACTACTTCTTCATAGAGTTCAAACTGAAAAGATAAATTCATTTCTTCCGTCTACAGACATGTTATCAGCTCAGAGGTGGGCTATCAGCCTATCACTACTAAAGAGCTCCAATGAGTTCTCATGCAGAAAGAAAACAGCATAATTATACTATTCCTAGGCATTAGGCAGTAATTTTGTGAATCACAAAATTAGCTAACTGATCATAGTTTAGTAACCTCGTTCTAGATGGGGCATACTTGGACTGCCAGATTATTCCCCGCATGTTTTCCACCACTGATCATGCTGAAGGCAGGAACTGGAAGAATCAACTTGGTTTTACCAGAAAGATCAGCAATATGTTGGTACAGAGGAATCTGCAACAAGAAGGAATTCTTATCCAATATGGCTCAAACTTTGTTAAACCATAAAAACCAACTTCAGGCCAACCGACACCTAAATAAGATCAGGAGCTAATGAGTAACAGTTATACCTCTTTTTCTGCAGCACCAGCTTTGCAAGCAGCCATTGACGCGGCTAACATAGCATTTGCTCCAAGCTCACCCTGCAAATTGTTTATGCTTGATTATAAAAGTATGGAATCAAATTGTTTATACTTGATCAGATACCTTTGGCTTAAATCCACATTTAAATTATCATAATATTTGCCCTTATACCATTACATATGAATATGTGCAAAGATCAAAGTACCAGTCTCTACTGGGGGTTATTACTCATTTTTGTACTTGCTGTTTCATTTTCATTACAATTTCGACCGATGGGCATAAAAAAATATAGTTCATTTGTTAGAGCATCTATTTTCCATCCTAAATGAGAATGAAACAAGCGAATGGATAGAAAATAAAAGATTGAAAGCCATAATGAAACATTTCATCCTCCAAGTAAAAAAATCTTGTATCCTAGAAGTGATATGAAAGTAGGGTCATACATCAATGTCGAATTACTGCTCAAATTACCAGCATACAAAAATACATTGCACATTAATTCTCATATAAGATTTGTTGCATAAAACAAATAATTATTCTTGCCTTATTTTCTGTTTTGTCTAAGTCAATCATGGCCCTATCAATCTCTGATTGGGATGTTGGGTTCATGCCAATCAAGGCTTCGGATATCTTCTCATTGATATTACGAACAGCTTTTGAAACACCCTTCCCCAGATACTTGCTCTTGTCTCCATCTCGTAACTCAACTGCTTCATACCTAGCATAAAATACAGAAATTTCATATGGCATCATGAAAGAATCCAAATAGACATAAACATGATGATGATTGAAAGAAAACGACTTAAACATTACTGGATTTTGACCTACATTCCAGGAGAAGCACCACTAGGGACAGCAGCTCGAAACATTCCCTTATTTGTATACAGATCTACTTCCACAGTAGGAATCCCTCTGCTGTCAAGTACCTGCCTAGCTGTAACCTTAGTTATCACAGATGGGACAGCTTTCTTCATATGATTTGACTGCAATATGACAGGTGACCATCAGCAATGGTTCATTTCAAAAATAACCCAGACTCTATAGCCTATGAACTGCAACAAAAGACAAATGAAAAGATGAAAAGGAAAATGCAAAGAGAAACAATTGGAAAATTTTCTCAATAGTTATAATAGTAGAAAATATATTACTATGAATTTGTAGGAAACCCTGTTTTATCTTCCAATCTGAAGAAATCCGGAAGGTGTAATCGCATTCATAGATGGATTAACATAGATGGAGATATAGGAACCTGAATAATTCATAGAAATTGATCCAAAAAAAGACATACAGGGAGGAACCATAAAAACTAAAGAGAAAATTGATTAATACAAAACGAGAAACATAATGGAGCCCAATTCATTTTATTCCTATGATGACAAGTTCAACAAAAAGAGATAAGCTCTCCACGGCTCACTTTTCATTGAAAACTGAATTAATCCCACCGGCAATAATAGACCCAAAGTTAACATCATACAAATCCATGACCTCCCAAATGACAAGAGACCTGACCTGCTTCATATCTGGCGAAAGAATGCACAAAATCTCTCTTTGCACCAATGCAAAAGGCAGGGGCAGAACCAAAGTTGGGACGAGAAGAAACAGCCAAACAAGTGTAGAGAACAACAATCGAAACAAGTATGGGAATCACAGCAGTCAGGTAGAATGATGATTTTCCTATGTTCCACTCACACTGTTGGCTTCTCATGCGTTTTCATGTTTTCTAATTCCATGCATGTATGTACCTTTTAGTTCTATAACTAGTCTCAGTTTTTGGGGTCATGTTCCATTTCAACCCAATTAAGCTCACAACTCATCACATCATAATGCGAGTATCAAAAAATATTGGAAAAAAAAAGGTCTTTCATGTTTGTATTCGGGCATAGGTACTTCTCAAAATAAAGTTGAGTTACATGGATATATAGATACATATGCATCAAATGAACCCTCATTTACCTCTAGAATAGCATAATATGCGAGCCTAATACACCCGTTTCTTTTATCATTAATGGGAATTACAAACCAAAATGCATTTCACATGCCTTTTAACTTTATATAACTGGTCTCATTTTTGGGGTCAAGTCTCATTTCAGCCCAAGTAACACTCTACTCATCAGTCATATATAAGTTTCTAAAATTCTTTGAGACAAAAAACTCAATGGCTAGGGCCTAGGGTATACACGTTAGTGCTTATGTAGAGGTACGGACAAAAATTGTACTTCTCAAAAGAAGTAAAGCTAGATTACTGTAAATGCATACACACCCACACAATTACCTCTAATGTGAAATCCTTCTCATTAACCAAATCTTTTTATTTACAACAAAAATCACGGCGATCCAAAAGGGTTTGCAGACTCCTAATACCTAAAGGAAGTTAAGGACCCAAATACTTTCAAATATTAAAATCATAGAAAAACCAAAGGATTTACCCAAAGGAAGAAGTTTATTTAGCAACTGAATCCAATACAGGCATTAACGGTCCATTTCATCAAAGAGTCCACCATGCAATAGGAAAAATTTCTAGAGTAAATTGATTGCACTGCAAATTTATTTGAAATTAGCTAGGTTTTTGAATTAACTGGCAGTGCTTATGTATACAACCAATCAAAGAGTCCACCATTAGATAGGTATTTGAATTAACTGGCAGTGCTCATGTATACAACCAATCAGAAGAATTGCCACTTAAAAAACGAGACCATGAAGAAAATTTGATCTAATACCAATTCAAGATGGCATGAATCACTGAGGATCCACTATCTTACAGACATTTGAAAAATAAGCACAAGTGACATGTTTAATGTAAAATCTTGCACAGATCAACAACAACAACAGGGAATTATCCAAAAAGGCAAAACAATCAGAGCCACTCACAATGAAAAGAACAGGATCCGATGATTTTGCTCTAACAGCCGCATTAACTGCATCTTCGATCTTTCGAGAGAGCTTGTGTTTGTCCAGATACTCCTGAACCGACATTTTACAAGATTTTTCCGCACCAAATAAGGGTTTTGAAGAAGGAATTCCACGAAATTTGCAGAGAAAAGAAGGCAATAGAACCCAAGAAAACCTAGAAAACCCCGCTATTGAAGATGGAATATTGCAAGGCTTTACAGGGACAAAACCATGAAAAAACTCCTATGCAAAAAAGCAAAAGAATTAGGGCCTCTGAGATGAAATTTGTCAAACCAAAAACTAAGAAAAAACCTAGAAATGGAGATGAATATGGTGGAACTGGAGATGAGTGAAGGTTCGCACTTGTGTCCAGTTTTGCAGGGGGCAGGAGCTTAAATAACGAGAATCTCAATTGGTACAAGTATGACCCCATAAAGTTTGTAATATAACGAAATTGCCTTTCCATGTTCTGGTGAGAGCAAATAGTATGCTCCAGCGGGATCAGACTGTACAAAATCCCCTAGGGGATTTTTTTATTTCAAGTTTTTGGGATCCATCTTAATGATGATTACTTTAAAAAAGAAATTCTGGATTTTGCGATCAAACGAGCTAATTGGAAGTTTTTTTTTTTTATTAAAGTTTTTGGGATCCATCTAAATGATGATTATTTTGAAGAAAAAATTTGAATTTTGAATTCTTGATGGCCTTGGCCTTGCCCTCCAAAAGCGCAATCATTTGGAGTTGTTTTTTTTTTTTTAAGCAAATCGAGAAGGACCTGGTTTTTATACGGCCAAGCCCGCATATGTATATGCAGAAATACAGGTCTATTAATAAATCTATTTTTGAGATGAATTTTAGGGTTTAATTTTAAGGACATGTAATCTTTAATATGAAGATCATGAATATGAAAAAATAAATAAATTTTAAAAAATAGAAAAAATAATTCTCATAAGAAAATATTTGGATGGTTAGTTTTCATTGTTTTTAGATAGAGTACATACTTACATGCATCTTTAAGATGGATGATTTACACTTTCTAGACCGCATATGTAGAAATGCAATCCAGTCTGGGTCGATCGAATCTTGATCCGGACCCGACCCACAAATTAAAAAAATATAGTTATATATTATGTTAAATATAAATAAGTATTATTAAAGTATTATAAATACAAGGAAAAAGTTTATATAATTGCGAGGCTGTAAACAATCAAATTAGGAAACACCTAAAAAATTTTCACTAGAAGACATTATTTTGATGCACAAATATTCTCAAATTGATCATCTCTACTAGCAAGATGCATGTACATGAGAAAAAAAATGGATTCCAAATTTTGGAAATAGTGCATCTCATAATGCAATTTTGGACCATCAATTTTTAAGATTTTAAGTTTTCACAGATCTGTTCGATCTATACTATTTTTTGAAGCTTTAAATTTTATAATTAGAGATAAAAATATATTTTAAGGCTATCACAAAGATATCACAAAGATTTCAAGTATTGAAACCACATTTCTCGACACTATTTGAAAGTGCCTTTATTTTGATTGTTTAGAGTCTCGGATTTACACAAAACGCACCTTAACTAAAAATATATAATTATATTTATTTAAATATTAATTAAATATTAAATAATATTTAAATAAAAACACTATTCGGTTCACATAGACCTGGACCCAGACTTGATTCGCCGTGTCCTTTGTTTGGACCCATACCTGGACCTAGGTCAGGATCCATTCGACCAAGGATAAGTTGTTTAACACGTCCCCCAGCCTTACCGTGGTGAACCTCATTATCACAATATGCTTTCTCCCTAGAAAATGGAGATCAAAAGACACCTACATACAAAGGTAGAGTATGAAATATATACATGCAGTGTCTCAACCATTTATTTAGAGAATACGCGGTAGAGATGAGCCATAGCACGGTCAGAGCTCCAGTGTTTCACATACTAATGCTGCCTTCATCCCCAATCCATTTTCCGAAATAACGGTGTATGTGATCTATGGAACCATTATTAATATATAGTGTAAAGATTTCATGCCCCCGCAAGAGCACTTGTACATTTGTTCCCTTGGGCAAATCAAAGCTTTTTTTCAACTAATTGGAGTCCTATACAAATTTTGGTCCGTCATATGTTCTATTAAAGGTCATACCCTCAGTTAGGTCATAAGTTCATGTCTTTTTTCATTATTTTCATTCATGTCCTTTTGAGTCTACCTCTTGTTTTTTTAGTGTTCCACTTAAACTGACTCGATCCTTCTAACAGGTACTGTATTGCGTCTAAACCACACATGGCTAGCTCACGTAAGTCTAATTTACCTCATCTTATCTCCTATTGATGACACACCTAAATTTTTTCGAACATATTCATTTTGAATTCTGTCCCTTCTTGTCCTTCTACTCATCTATCTCAATATCCTCATCTCTACTATATTTATTCTATGGGTATATTATTTTTTGATTGCCCAACATTTCATCCCATAGAGCAAAGCTGGTCTCATAGCTTTCCTATAAAACATTCCCTTCAGTTTCATTGGATCCCAAAGTTTGAAAATGTGACTTATAGAACCCAACGGGACAACAACCAAAAAAAAGGGCCACGGTAGTGGCGGTAGTACCTCACATCTTTGTCAACACATTATAGTTTTCATTCCCACCACTAACACCACCCAATTTATAATACCTTCAAAAATCTAATTTCTAATCTACTTGAAAAATCGGGTAGAAAGGCATGTCTTCCCAACTGAATTACCCAAAAACAAAAAAAAAAACAAAAAAGAGGACAACAACCAAAAAAAAAAAAATTGAAAAAGAAAAGAAAAGAAAGAAAAAAGAGGACAACAACCAAAAAAAAAAATGGAAAAGAAAAGAAAATAAAACTCATACGTGCTTAAAGACAACCCAGATGTTCAGGAATTCAAAATCCATTTTTTCTTAAAAAAAAAATGTAGCACAACAACCAAAAAAAAAAAAAATGAAAAAAAAAAAGAAAAGAAAACTCAAACGTGCTAAAGACAACCCAGATGTTCAGGAATTCAAAATCCATGCTAAAGACTACCCAGATGTTCAGGAATTCAAAATCCATTTTTCTTAAAAATAATTATCTGGTCAAAAAGCTAATTTCTAATCTACTTGAAAAACTGGGTAGAGGCATGTCTTCCAAACTGAATTATCAAAAAAAAAAAAAAAAGAGAGAATAGTAACCAAAAAAAGGAAAAAAAAGAAAAAAGAAAACTCACACGTGCTGAAGACGATCCAGATGTTCAGGAATTCAAAATCCATTTTTTCTTAAAAATAATAATCCGGAAACATTTAGATGGATCCAAAAAAAAAATCCTCACAAGTAGCTATTTTGCTCGATGGAGTTGTTGTACATTACTTGCCTGAGCGAGTTATAACCGCTCGCTCTCATGTGTATTAGATGCTCTCTTAATAAAATTGATTTTATGAAGACAATCATTTAGAGAGAGGGCAACCAAGAACTAAGCCTTCTTAAACCCATGGAAGCCTCTCTCTCACCCAACTATTCCAAGCAAGGAAGTTATTTTTAAGGGATTGCAAATTAGAAGAACGTTTACCTGAATTATTTTTAAGGGATTATAGATCAAGTAGATCTATCAACATATGAAAATTGACGGTCCACAAAATGTATTACAAGATACACTATTTTCAAGGCTTGACATTTATTTTTTCTCATGTTCATACATCTTGAGGTCAAGATGATCAATTTGAAGATGTTTGGGCATCGAAACAACTTCTTCTAGTGAATTTTTGAGGTGGGCTTTAATTTGATTATTTAGAGCCTCATCCTTATATAAACCTTTTCCTTAGTAAAAAGAGGTCCTAATCACTTAGCCAAAATTTAACAGCTTACGGTGTGTCATAAAGTTCAATAAGTTTGCTTTTAAGCTACGATTCTAGCCAATGATGTACCTCCGTAGCTCAATTTCAAATCCAACAGCCAAGTTTAATTGTAACTTTATTATACCAACGGATCTACATAACCTTTTATTTTATTTGTAAGCTCTGTGTGTTCTAGGGGCATCTTCTTGGCAAATGGGATTACAAAAGTCCGTCATCCTTGACTACTGGTGTGGATTAAGGTAAGTAAGTTTCTACTCTTAAATGTTATCATCATTGTAGCTTTTTTTCACTTCTAAATGCGTCGAGGAAAAAAAACATGCCATACTCCCCAAAATTGGCCCGCCGATAGGCGGCGTTAAAGTATATAGAAATCCATTGCTTATCATGTAACGCTCTAGGGTGCGCATGCATGTTTCAATGATTTAGATTGAATCTAGGCCTATTTGATATCCACAAATTTGATTTGTTTTTATTCTTATTTTTTGAATTTACTTACATAAAGTTTGGGGCAGCCATACATTTTATAGAGCCTACCAAATAATAATAATAATAAATGTCAAATAAAAATAATTGACCAAAATAGCCCTAAATGTTTCAGGAATGTTTTGGTTAATTTTTTTTATATAAATTGTGTTTTCTTATTTTATTTTATCGAGTGCCCTTTACAAATGTGTATGGATGCCCCAATTTTTATGGCAATTAAATTTGAAAAATAAAAATAAATATTAAAGTACAAAATCAAGTTTTGGCCTTCAAATCGACCTATATTAAATCTCAGCCTTTGCTAGGTACCTGAGCACCTTTCTAAGCATTGAAAGATTCAATACTTCTCCTTAGTACATCACAAACTTAGTTTCCAATCCAGATGAGAATAGAAGAAATGTATATTTATTCACATGACCTTTGAAAACAGGGCACGAGCTCTGGAAATGGGGTTGGGGCATTGCTGGTTAGAGGGACATAAAGTCCCACTCTCCATTACCACCGATATCATATCAAATGGACAAAAAAAAAAAAAAGCAAAGAAAAGAAAAGAAAGAAAAAGAGCATGAGCTTTAACCCATCAATGCATGTCCAGAATTTAAGTGCCCATCATTTGGAAAAACACAAGGATAATGGTTTGATAGGGGCTGCAACCCTATCAAAATAAGTAAAGTCGTGCCTTGTAATTCCTCGAATATTACAATCCAAGCATTGGAAATCTTTTACATTGATCATTTCTGCTTAAATATTATGGTTGTGAAAAAAATTAAGATTTTAAGCTCTAAAAATAGTGTATATTGTAACAAATGATCTTGATCATCCATTTGGCCCTAAAAATAAGTGGTCAAATATCCTCAAGATCTGTACCATTTTTTGAATATCAAATTTTATGGTCGATGATGGAAATTGACTGTAGGGCCATCATGGAAATTTCCGTTGCCAAAAGTGCTTTCCAAATGTAGATTTGAGGTGAGGCTTTATTTTGCTTTCATGAAGCCCAGGCCTCATAGAAATCTCATCCAAAAAAG